CCGGGCCTAGGCCTCGGTCCCCGCCTCCCGCGAGGGCGGAGTCGGCCGTCCGCCGTCTCGCCCCGGAAGCCTCGGGTTCCTCGAGCGCGCGCTCGCTCGGAAGGAGTCGAGGCCGGGGCTCGCAAATGAGCTTTGAAAGTGGGTGTTAGGCAAATGCCTTTTCGTTTGAGTGTTCAGGGCCTGTCCTTTTTGCGTGAGGCACCTTAGGGTGCAGAGCCAGCGTCTTGCTTTAACTTGAGCTTCTTGGGAGGGTGAGGGTAGTGGGGAAATGAAATTCATTTTATCTAAATCATTCCCCCCTCCCGGAACTTGCTGAAGCTCCCCCGCATATCCTTCAGTGTCAGAGTCTAACCGCCCGCCAGGGGTGACTTGAAGGCTGTGCAGTGTTAGGGAGTCTTGTCTCCTGTAAGTCATACCCCGCTTGTTTCCCTGATGTAGAAAAATGTTTGTTGGTGGCTTGAGCTGGGATACCAGCAAAAAGGATCTGAAAGACTATTTTACCAAGTTTGGAGAGGTCGTTGACTGTACAATAAAAATGGATCCTAACACTGGACGGTCAAGAGGATTTGGGTTCATCCTCTTTAAAGACTCAACCAGCGTGGAGAAGGTAAGCTGCAGGACTAGGGTTGGGGTTGAGAACACCATTGGTTTGTGTGCTCTGCATGTAGTTAAGTGCTTTAAGAAAAGCAGAGGGGCTAAGAGCGGTTTTCTGAAGGAACAAAGCTATTACTGAACAGGAAGTGGAAAGAATGGATGGTAACTTCTATACTTAACGGCTTTTCTATGTGCCTGTTTTTCATGTGAGGATCAGGAAAGAGTGGTTACTACGCGAAAAGCATGTTTTGGCTCCACTTCATAGAGGGAAGAATTAAGGTTCTGGTGTTTGACAAAGCCCAGCCGACTAGTTGAGGGTGGTACGATTCCAACCCTAGCAGTGTACTTCTAGCCTGTGATCTCTTTCACGACTCCTTTGCTTCTGGAGATGGTGCTGCCCCTGGACAGCTGGGGCAGGAAGAAAGACTGTAGGAAATGGGAAAAGGCTGGGGGTTAGGAAATAAAAGAGACTGGTACTTCAGATTTGAAGACAGTTGGGCTGTGGAATACCCTTGGTGGACTTCTTTCCATTTTGTCCTGTGGCTCAATATGACGTGGATGCTGAGTTAGAACTCTTCTGTTGAAACAGGTACTAGACCAGAAGGAGCACCGGCTGGATGGTCGGGTTATTGACCCTAAAAAGGCCATGGCCATGAAGAAGGATCCCGTGAAGAAAATCTTCGTTGGGGGTCTGAATCCTGAGGCCACTGAGGAGAAGATCAGGGAGTACTTTGGCGAATTTGGGGAGGTGAGTGTGTGCCCAGGATTTGCCCACCAACTGCTATGAGGCTGTTTTTTCTTTGGTAACCTTTGCTGGCTGGGAGTCCCTTTAAAATAGTATCCATAGGGCTGGCTTTCTTGAGTTGACCCTCTAGGCCCTGGAGCAGGGGAAACACCACCCTGAACTTTGCTTATGTTAACAGATTGAGGCCATTGAGCTTCCCATGGATCCAAAGTCTAACAAAAGACGAGGCTTTGTTTTTATCACCTATAAAGAAGAGGAACCTGTGAAGAAAGTTCTGGAGAAAAAGTTTCACACTGTCAGTGGAAGCAAGGTAATGAATGTGTCCCTAGGTCTGTACACTTGGCTGCCCGCTGCTGGAGGCTTGTCCCTTTGCCAGGTGATTAGTTCTAAGTGCTCTTAAGGGTGGTTGGTTGTTACTAGTGTTTGTTCCGCTGGCAGGCTGGTGGCCATTTCCTCTGAGGTGCTGGCCTTCAGGTATCTTGAGATTCTGATAGGTGCTTTGTTAATACAGGTTGAACTGAGGGATCCAGGCAGGCAGGCAGGGGTGGAAGGAAGCATGGCTTCCGGGGATTAGATAGAACATGTTGGTCATGCAAAGCAATGAAGGTGCTAGATCTAGAGACCAAAGTGTGTATGGCCTGCAATTGAGGTCTCAAAGATTTTCTAGAATTTTTGGGACTTAATTCTTTAGTAATACCTGCATACCTGCACTGCTGCGGAGCTTTTTTTTTTTTTTTCTTAATGTTTGGATTTTCACACCACCTTCCATCCTCAGGGTATTACATTTCCACTGCCACTCAACACCCCCCTCCCCTCCCAAAGCTCTTAAGGACCTCAGCTTTGACCTCTATAAGTATATCCTATGCAGTCAGGTACAGCTTTTGTGCTGAACTTGGGGATGGGAGGGAGGACAATCCTAGGCTTCAAGTATTCTACCAGGCAACCAGCCAAGGAGGCATTTGAGAGTTGAGGGTGCAGCCTGGCTTCTGTCCTGCACTGTCCTGGGCAGGAGTGGCAGCCAGATAATGAGGGACAAGTATGGGTCAGGCTTCTTAAAGGCTTAGATTTTGAATCGTTATAGATTTTGAATCGTTATTCTCACCCCTCCCCCCCCATGTGCTCTGGGTTGTGCCGCTATTTGAAGTCATTGCATGCTATTTGAAATGAGATGAGGGCCTAGGACAGTACTAGTCAAACTGCTGGTTGTGGGTCTTAAAATGTATGTATTGTTGCTGTCAATATTTCTAATAGGCCCAAAAACTTCAGATTTTATGTTTTAATGTAATGTTACTGGCAGTCTGGAGTTTTGGGAAGAAGTAGGCTTATACAAGAATTCTGTATCAAGAGACTAAAAATACACGTATTTAAGTAGGAGCCACCTTCCACCACCACCCTAAGTGGATAGGCTTTTAAGTCACAATGAAATTGACATTTGGGTCAATTTGGAGTCAAGTTGATACTTGCTGATCAATCCCAGCAACAGCAGTGAAGGAGAGGAGGGGGCAGGTGGCTCTGACCAAAGTCACCCTCACCCCCAGACTACTTGTGTAAAGTGGAGGAGACAGCATTGTCTGGATTTCTCAGATGAGTGAACTGCTTCACTGAACCTTTCCTTCATGGTGTCTTAAGGCCCAGCCCCTCATCTGGAATTTTTTTCCTGACCCCAGTTGGGGACCGAGATGGCTCAATTGGCCCCCCCGCTGTCTGGTGTGGCAGCACTGGGCTAGAATTGGTTCCATTACCTTTCCCTTCTTATTAGTTACAGTTGCCCCAGAACTGATCAGGCATTCTGTGGGAAAAAATCTAGCTAAACTGGTCCTTGTGTGAGTCTTGGGCTGTGAAGTTATTCATTCTAAGAACTGCTAGCCTAGGTGGAGCTTTCCACCATTTCTGAGCAAGAGGGTTTGGTTTGGTCTGCTCTACATGTGAATGTGAACATTTGGTGGTAAGGGTCTTTGCACCATCCCTTCCCCACACCTGTCCCATTAGCCTGACTCACTGTCCTTCTATGGATTTTTTCAGTGTGAAATCAAGGTGGCCCAGCCCAAAGAGGTCTACCAGCAGCAGCAGTACGGCTCTGGGGGCCGTGGAAACCGCAACCGAGGGAACCGAGGCAGTGGTGGTGGTGGTGGAAGTGGAGGTGAGTGGGGTGGGGTCTGGATGAAGATGGGTCTGTGGCTCTGCCATGCTGGGGCTTTTGTTCCTGTCTTGGGGCTTGCTCTGGTCTGGTGCTCTGCAGTGGGGTGGCAGGGGCACCTTAGGGCATGGCTTTGCACAGGAGGCTGTTGCCACAGCCTGAAGTAACAAAAAGCCCTCTTTTGGCCTTGGGGCCTGAGGGCATTGTATTGCCACCTCACTGAGGTCTGGAATTGGGAGGTGAGGGCTGTGGGGTGTGCTTGGCTCTGGTCCTGAGTCCTAGTACGCCTGTGGGTGGCCAGGCAGAAGGGGTAAGGGGGTAGGGCTATGCCAGGCGCTTCACTTCCTTCTAGCCCAGGCCCCTCTGACTCCAAAGCTTGAACTACATCTATTAGGTCCAGCTGCCGGGGAAGGTGGGAGAGTGTGAAGTGTGAGTAAAGTTAGTGTCTGGCTTCTAGCCCTCTGCTTGGGTCTCAGGTACAGACTAGGGCAAGGGTCTTCCACACCAGCACAGCAGCCCCTGGCTTATGCCTCCGAGTTGCCATAGTAACCCCGCCATCTAAAGGGCAGGATATCCTCCATCCTAGCTCCTGCGTGTGCTAAATGGTCCATGGGCCCCTGTGCCCTGCTCCCCCCACAGGTCAGAGTCAGAGTTGGAATCAGGGCTACGGCAACTACTGGAACCAGGGCTACGGCTACCAGCAGGGCTACGGGCCCGGCTATGGCGGCTACGACTACTCGCCCTATGGCTATTACGGCTACGGCTACGACTACAGTAAGTAGGAGAGAGGGAGGCCCCATTCCACTCGCCGCTCAGGGGAGGCAGGACAGACAGCGCAGGGGCAACTGGCAGCAGGGGCTTTGGAGTTGGACAGGCCTGGGCTCTTAGCCTGATTTGGCCATGGGAGCCACGTGAAGTTGAGCTCTGACTCTGGTTTACCTACAGTGTGAGGGGTTTCCGAGGTTCGCGGAGGCTCTGGAAAGGATGTGACTGAAGCGCCTGGCACAGGTTGAATAGTGCTCAGGAAGGAGTGGCTGGCTGCTCACTGCTGTTCTTGTCCCCAGGTCAGGGTAGTACAAATTACGGGAAGAGCCAGCGACGCGGTGGCCACCAGAATAACTACAAGCCATACTGAGGCCGTGGCAGGCACGACAGCTGACCGCGCCGCTCCGTTTGGATATCAGTGAACACAATTATGTACCAAATTTAACTTGGCAAACTTTCTATGGCCTGTCCCATGTGCATCTTATTTAAAAATTTCCCCCTGGAAATCACTCTCCTGTTTACTATTTCCAGAGCTAGTTGTGTTAGCAGCGTGTGGTATATCAGAGGCCGAGCAGCATCATGGGCCTAATTTAATACCAGGTTCCCCAAAACCCGAGGGGTGGGTGTGCGTGTGCCCTGCTGCCGCTCTGTATCCTGGGCCTGTAGGCCCTGGTGGGTAAAGAGTAAACTTGTACTTAGGAAACCAGTGTCACCTTTTTTCACCTTTTAATTTTATATTATTTGTGTCATACATTTCCTGTAACGGAAGTGTTAATTTTACTGTACTTTTTGGTACCTTTTTGGGAATCTAATGTATTGTAAGGTATTTTACACGTGTCCTGATTTTGCCACGACCTGGATATTGAAGCTATCCAAGCTTTTGAAATAAAAATTTAAAAACCCCCAAGCCTAGGTGAGTGTGGGCTACGCTGTATGAGACCTCTTGCCCAGAGTGGGTCAGTGCCAGGTGCCTCCTTACCCCAGCCACCTTCCTCAGTGCCCCGTTCCAACTTGGCTGTGGGGCCTGGGAGGGCCATGTTGATCTTTTCAGGCTGCACTTTCTGGTCCCAAGTCTGCCCCAACTTAACAGCATCCTGCCAGGCACACCCACACAGCCACATCCTTGGTTAAGTTTTCTTTAATGAAAGAAACATCCTGGCCCCGAGTCCCCTTCAGAAAGGAAGTGGGTGGGTCAGTGGTTTGAGACTGTAGTGAAGTGCCTATCTCCCCTCTGCCCCTCCCCCCCTGTATTTCCCCAGGTTATGGCTTTAATCTCTGGGGCCAGCTTGGAGTCCATAAACAGAAATGGGAGTCTAACAGCAATGACTGTGGCTCCACAAAGGGCTGGGCTGGTTTACTGCCTTTCCTTAGGTTGTAGTACTTGCTGTTCAGGCAGTTGTGGGCTTGAGACCAGCTGGTGTTGAGAGGTGATAGGGCTCGGATTCCAAGTGGACCAAACCTTCTAGGAAGTTGTTTCTTCACAAACTGAGGGTTGGCTGAGGGTGATGACAGCAGCTGCTGCTGACCTCAGTCAACAAATGTGTTCTGAAGGCTTGTGCTGATGGGGATGTGCAGAGAGCCCCGGGCAGCAGCTTGTTGAAGCAACTGTCCTATTGAAAAGGGGGTAAATGCTATGTTTTTGAAAGGTTCCACCTTGAGCAGTAAAAGTAACTGCTGCTGGTGGCTCAGTGTCCAGCTGTGATCCTGGAAAGCAGACAGTTTACCTACTCACCTCAGAGGCAGGACTCCTGAAGGGCAGGCTGAGGCTTTGCTCTCAGTGTGGCACAGCTTCTCAGAATTGCCTCCATCTCTGGAAAAGACCACAAAGCCACCCAGCTTGACTGCCCTTACCTGGCTTGAATATTCTGGTTCCATGTGTAAGTCAGCCTTTGTTCCCTAGGCTTACTGCAACTCCCTACTCCCCCCAATTAGAGGCTACCCCTTCGTTTCAGAGCCCTGGGCTCACACCTGTGCTGTGCAGGTAGCCATGCTGTAGCTTGGGGGAAGGACCTGGGGAAAAATTAGCCACTGAAAAACCCTAAGACAGTTCTTGGACACTGGGGGACTGCTGTGATTTGGAAGTTGCTTCAATGCCGGAAATTTTCTTACTAACCTGCACAGGTAGCCTAGATTAAGCAGGTTCGGTCTATGTGGCCCTTGGGCCTGCCCAGCACCACAAGGCCTATTCCACTAAAATCTCTCACTGTTCAAGGGCTGACGGGGCTCTCGCTCACCGGTCAGGACAGCGTCCAGCACAGCCACCACTTGGTGTGCATCCTCAAAGCTGAAGCACATTGGGGGCTTAAACTTCAGAATGTTCTGCCCGGGACCATCGGTGCTCAGCAAAATGTAGTTTTCCTTCATCCTGTGAGGAAAAGATACAGATCTCTGCCAGTCTTTAGCTGTTCGAACCATAGCTTTAAGGCCTTCCCTAGCCTGCCTTTAACACAGCTCTTGCCCTCGATGCCCTTTATCTGTGCTCACCCCTTTTACATGGATATAGTTGCCACGAGATGCCAAGCACTTGAGCCCCTTCCTGTGCCCTCGCCTGGTTCCTCTAAACCTCCCTCAAATCTTCCCTGGAGTTAATTTGTAGTTAAAGGAAATTTACATTGTGCAGAAATGGAAGCAGATCACATCACAAAATGGAAGATGGCTGTATTCTGTCAACCACTGAGGGTCATGGCCCAGCCCCCATTGCCTTTGCCAAATGCATCTTGTTAACTTTCAAACTAATTGGAATAGTGGACTTTCTACTGTTGTCCTGTGGCATAGCAAGATGGTCAGTCATAGGTACTGAAAAGGGACCTTGTGATTATATTTCTAGCTTGTCTTCCGGATCTTCAGTCCATTCTTCCCAGGCTGGAAAGAACACAGCTTGGGTTCATGGGGGTACAAGCTGCAGGTGAAACCCCGGGGAGGCTCAGCCCTTCTTCGGCTGGCTGAGGGCAGGAAGCAGGCCTTGTTGATTGCTCAGTCCCATCCAAAGATCAGGGTTCTGAATCCTGTGGCTGCCTGGGGGAAGGGGAGGGTATCTGGTGGTACAGAGAAGCCATGGACCAGATTGCTATTTCAGGTGGATCCCAGAATCCATACAATGGGAAGTTTACAAGTCACATGAATTACAAGTAAAGAGGGCATTTCTCATTTGAATTAAGACATTAAGCACTTGAATGTACTTGCTTTTTCATTGGTATGGGGATGAGTGGGGCAGAAGTGGGAGTGTAGATGATGGAAATCAGTCTTCCTGAGGTTTGTGCACCTGGGGTTTGAGTAGTAAACCAGAGCTGGGGGTAAGGCAGATAGATCCAAACATCCCCAGCCCAGATGGGGACCTGGAATCCTGTCTCACTTCAGCATTAAGGAACACAGCAATATGCTTGGGTTTGGAACTGGCCACTTCCCAAGTACTGGCTGCCAGGAATGAAGTATCACAAGCACCACTTGGCTGGGTCAGCCAGGTTACCCCATCCCCACCCCTGTGGTAGCCCAGTCAATCCAAGAGGAGGCAGGAAGCCTCTTCCTTGCTGGCCCAGGCTCTGTAAAGGCTGCGTTGCCTGCCCTGTAAAGCAGCTTCGGGGAGATACCTGGAGACCAAGTAGTTTGCCTCTTCAGTTGCTGGCTTCCTTGTGGCCTCATCTTTGATTAGGTCCACACCGATGAAAAGCCCGGCACCCCTGAGGCAGAAGGTGATATCTAAGGCTTGGGTGACCCATACTGGTTGCTCCTGGCATTCCACCAGGGTTCCCTGTCAGAAAGACCCCCGCCTCTACCACCCAGGGCTCAGACCTCTCCTTGGGGCAGCTGCAGGGCAGTACGGTGGGAAGCCCTTGGTGGGGGTGAGATTCCAGAGATGTGGTGGCTTCCATGTGGACATCAGCAAGAAGTCTGGGCAACCTCTCAGGCCTAAGTTTTCTCCCATGAAGTAGATACCAAACATGCCACCCAAGGCTGTTAGGAGGGAAGGAGAACTGACTACCAGGCCCTGTCCAATGGTCCATTGGTGGATAGTGACCTGTCCCCGACCTCACCTGACATCCCCGATGATCGGATGCTTGCCTTTCTGCTGCTCCAGGAGCCCCATCAGGGTGCTGCCCACATGGGCAGCATGAGCCTGGAGCTGCTCCTTCTCCAAGACCTCCAGGACAGCCAACCCCACGGCACAGGACACAGGGCTGCCCCCAAACTGGGCCAGGGAGAAAGGGTACATGAGACCCCAGCAGAGTGAGTCATGTCCCACTCCCGGGGGAAGCACAGGCCCTGAAGCTTCAGGCCTCAGTCCTTGGCCCAACTGTGATTCCCCTGCAGCCCTACTGCCTATGCCTCTAAGGGCTTGTGACTGCAGCCCAGGCCAGGTACCTGTAGACCATCAGATCACTCCCCTGAGGGGAAGGGAAGACCATCTTGGAGCCATTCTTGTTAAGAGATTGAGATATTTATGGTATATTGGTTGAGTTCGGCATAGATTTGGGGGCTTAGACCATGCCTGCAAGCCACACCTAGCCTATGGGTTCTCTTTGGTGGTACCTAACGTTTCAAGACAAACCACACAATTTTATCTGCATTTCTGACAAAATCCCCTGCGACATCCAATAGTCCAAGAGCATTACACAGTTCTGTCCAGGCACACAGGGCTCTGACTCACTTCTGTCTGGCCCTACAGCTTGCTGAGGTGGGAGCTGCATTGGAAGAATCTAGACTAGCGTCTCTTGCAAACAGCTTAAAAACACTTGAGGTATCGTATATACAGAAATTAAGCTGCATATATACGATATCCTTTGACTTGTGAAACTAGCACCAGAATGAAAACCATCTGCCACTGATCTGCTTTGCTATTAATTTTGCTCTTTCCATAATAAAATGTTAAAGTTGGAATTATTTCCCCAAAATGTGTTGAAATCTTATCCTCTATGTCTTTAGGGGCTTCTGATATGTTAATGAAATAGTGCCAGGACAGGGTGGGTCCTAAGCCTAATCATTTTTGAGCTATAAAAAGAGGATTAGAGGAAACCCACCAAGAAAGGAACTTCCCCTAAAAGCACATCCTGAATTTGGACTTATAGTCGGAACTGTGCGATAATAAATTCCTGTTCTTTAAAGTTGCCCACTGGTGTCTTTGTTACAGCAGCACTGGTTGGCTAAGACATGTAGTATGTCTTGCTTCGTTTCTTGCTTCTTCCACTCAACATTGTGTTTGACATTCATCCAGGCGATATGAGCAGTCCATACTTTGTATTTAGCTGCATAGCATACCATTGCATGGGATATCCAGTCTCCTGTTGATGTATGCTTGGGTTGTTTGAATAAGCGCTATTTGAGTGAGAGGTCCATGGTCAGTTCTGTACAAGTCTTTGTGTAAGCATTTTGCTTGAGTAAATACCTAGAGTGGACGTGCTGGATTGTATTATTTAGCTTTTCAAGAAACTACAAAACGATTTGCAAAGTGGTTACATTATTTTACATTCCCAATTGCAGTGTAAGAGGATTCCAGTTGCTTCTCATGCTCATCAGCACTTGGCCTTGTTAGTCATCCTCTTATCATTCAGATGGATTTGTAGTAATATGCTGGTGACCATCTTGAAAACTCCTTAGAGCTTCTTAAATGACGGACAGGCAGCTTGCTTACTGATGTGTTCAAGATAAAGGGGCAGCTTTATGCTAGTGATGACTACATGTTGCATTTTGGGACCCGATGGCAGGTTTCTTCTGTAGAGTGGCTGGTAGGCACAAACCGCAGACCTTATGATTAGCAGCAAGTGCTTAACCACTGAGCCATCAGGGTTCCTTGTTCACAACATAATTACGCTCTAGTTAAGTGGTACGTGTGCCCACTATTAATAGCAACTTAAGAATCATGACCTGCCAAGTGTGTTAAACTAGTACAATGACGGCTCCTTCCCTTAGGATGATCATGTAAGGCAGTGACTCTCACCCTTCCTGATGCCGCAACCCTTTCATACAGTTCCTCATGTGTGGCGACCCCAACCATAACATTATCTTCTTGCTACTTCATGACTAATTTTGCTACTGTTATGAATCGGGCGACCCCTGTGAAAGGGTGTCGTTCGACCCCCCAAAGGGGTGGCAACCCACAGGTTGAGAACTGCTGGCCTAAGGGAACTCCTCGCAGAAAATGGGGAGAACTAGGGAAACCTGTTTGTTTTTGTTCTGACTCATGTTGAGTGGTGACCCTGGTAGGTTAAGAGAGAACTGTTGGCTTTCATGCTTGCTGACTTTCCACTCCCACCCTGCAGATCCTCATGTCCCTACAAACTCACCAGCGCACCAGGTCCCATCTGACTGCTTGACAGTGGCCAGTAACCCAAGGGTTGAAATGAGCTCAGAGGGAAGTCCATTTGAGGAACAGAATTACTTCAAAAAGAAAAATAGCAAGCACATCTCTACATTCATTGCCCTTAAGGAAATTTCTGCCTAATTAGTTGCCCATTAAGCTGGTGGCATACTGATTATCCATTAGTTTGCTAACTGCAAGGTCAGCAGTTCTAAACCACCAGCCCTTATTAGGAAAAAGATGAGGCTTTCTACTCCTGCAAACAGTTACAGTCTTGAAAACTCATGGGGGCAGGTGTACACTGTCCTATGAGTTGGCATTGACTCAAGGGCAGTGAGTTTCTTGTTTTTGGTGGTGGGGAAGCTAACAGCAGAGACTGGAAAAGAAGTTGGCTTCTGGAGTTGCCACACTGCATATTTTGAACTGCCCAGTTCTCAGTAGGGACGTATGAGGCACGCCAGAAACAAGTATGGTTCAGTTATAGGAGTAAAGAAGCCTATATGTTGGACATACCAGGCAAGTATTTTAAATAAAGTATTTTAGAAATGTAAAAAAAATCAATGAAATCATGTCTTAAAGTAAAAAGCATTAAGAACGCTATCTTAACCAGACAGAATATTAATAGATTATTGTTATTGTGCCATTGAATCACTTCTGAATCTGATCATGTGTTACTGAATGGAAATGTAAAGACTTGTGGAAACAAACTACTAAAATTCTAGAGCTGAAAAGTACAAAAAGCTCATCAGAGGGACTCAGCAGTACTTCTGGCAGGCAGAAGAGAGATGGAGCACATTTGAAGGTATTTTCATTGTGAACAACAAAGAGTGAACAGCATATCAGAGTCATGGGTTGCAAAGAGACCAATAGATGCGAATGGCCATCCTGGACAAACAAAAAGAATAGTTGACGAAATAATGGCAAGTTTCTCCTATTTAAGGTTCTCCACCAGCTCCAAGTAAAATAGACACATTAAGAAACACACCTAGGCAATATGAAACAAAAAAGCAACAGCAAAGAGTCTTCAAAGTAGCAAGAGAAATGACTCCTGCACGGGAGGTCCTCAATAAGTAACCTAAGTTAGACATCAAAGTTAGAAATTTAGACATTCCCAGATGAGCAAAATGCAACTGTTCCTAGCAGGTGTGCCCACAAGCAATCCTGAAGGGAGTCTGTGGTGGATTCTGAACTTGCAAAATCCACTTGGGTAAGCCTTGATTCCCAGTGCTGTCATCCTCCAGTTTTCTATTTAATGTAATTCTTTTCCATATTGTGATATGTTGCAGATCTTAACTTTTGGGTTAATGAGGGAACCCTAGTAGCATAGTAACTTAAGTGTTGGACTGCCAACCTTGTGGTTGGCATGTAAATCAACCAGCCGCTCTAAGAAAAAGATGAGGCTTTCTGCTCCTGTCAAGATTTCCACTCTGTCCTAGAGTGTTGCTATGAGTCAGAATCAACTTAATAGCAATGCGATTTTGGGGTATGTTTCATAAGACAGGATTACATTACGTTAACGAGGACTAGGTTTGCTTTGTTAATGAGGCAGGTTTAGAGTGGGATGCGACATCCTTACTTAGATGACAGCATTGATGTAAGGGGAGTTTCCCTGGGACATGACCTCTTTCACCTTCTACCTCACAAGAGATAGAAGGAGAGAGAAGCAAGCAGAGGAGGAAAGACCTACGACCGCCAAGAAAGAGGAGCTGAGAGTAGAGCTCATCCTTTGGACCTAAGATCCTACCCTGAGACCCACAGGAAGATTGATGCCGAGACACACGGAGATCTCCAGGGAAGGCCAGGCCCACAGATGTTGAAGGGAGACAAGACCTTTTCTCTGACAGAGAGCTGCCACCCTGAATTTGAACTTCAAGCCTCCTCAAAAAAAAATAATTAAAGTTTTATTGTTGAAACCATACACTTGTGGTATTTCTATTATAGTAGCACTAGCTAACTAAAACAAGAGTCCATCTAGCTACTGTTATGAATCGGGCGACCCCTATGAAAGGGTCGTTTGACCCCCAGAGGAGTTATGACCTACAGGTTGAGAACCGCTGATCTAGCTGAAATGAAAGGACTTCCACAGGAAATAAAGAGCACTGATCAATACACAAATAGATTAAAATGATGGATACATTATACAGATAGTAACCAAAAGAGCAGGAGTGGCTGTACTAAGACCCCTGTCCCCACCCCCAGCCCCCACCAGAAAAGGACTTTAAAGAAAAAAAGGTGGTGAAATATATTATGAGTCAATTCATCAAGAAGATATAGCAATTATAAATATAATTTGTACCTAACAACTGAGTTCCCAAATACATAAGGCAAAAACTGCATGCATGCATGCATACATATATAATTCAATAATAGCTGAAGGTTTCGGTACTTTCAATAATGGATAGAACATTAGGAGATCAGCATGTAGATAGAAGACTTGAACAACATGGAACTAGACTTAAAAGTTGTCTATTGGGCATACCACCTGATCTTAGGTAGATGGAACGCTTTCCAAGATACAAGTTTCAATACATTTAAAAGAATTGGAATAATACAAAGGATGTTCTCTGACCACAATGGAATAAAATAGAAATGAATAAAAAGAAATTGAGAAAGGTGACCTGTCTCATTGGCTCTGGGGATATAACTTGCAGCAAATGCAGGTGCTTTGGTCTAGGATTTACAAGGCCACACTGGAGGCTTTGTGATGAAGGAAGCCTGGCCAGACCAGAAAAGACTCACCTGGGTGGCTGCTATTACCTAGTTACAGGAGGCAAGATTTAGGATTTAGCCTATCATGAAAAAGCTTCACAGAACTTACTGGTTGGTAAGCTCATCTGCTCTTGGGAGGATAGTGTGTCCCTTGTATGGAGTTCCCATAACTTGCATTATGTGTG